GGCTTCTTAAGGTCATAAACATCGAACAACATCAGTAGCTTTTAAGGGGTCTGCAGTTGTGGACTTGGATAAATTTATTAATCATGAACTTGAGTCAGCTGGCTAATTTCTGTCAGTGTTGATTTTACAAAATCTTTGTAGCATGGAATAATTGATGAATAATTCTCAGATGCGTAAGTAGTATTCAAATTTAAAGAAAAATAATATTTTAGTTGAGAAATGTTGTGAAGCTATGCATCTTGGACCTGGGAGCTGTGACTTATCCTTAAACACATAAGCTTTTGCTTTCCATTTCACTGACCATTTTAGCTTGGTTGTTCCATCAGAAGTGAAAGAAGATATTTGTCTTTCCCTGTTATATGCTTTTGCTTAATACTTCCTCCAAGCTGATAATTTCTCTTGGCTTGTTCGGTTTCTGAAGCTAGTCTTTTATTTTTACTCTAGTTTATTAGACTTATCTAGACAGTGAGAAGGAAACAACTTATTAAGGTGGGCTTGTCTTCAGAGAGCATTTTAGGGATCTCTTACTAAAACTGAAATTGCCAAGTGTCTCCACTTGATTGAGTGACTAATGGGTCATGATCCTATTGAACTTAAATATTTTGCAAATGGGAGCTAGTTTCCTCAAGGTATGCATTTAGCGTTAGTAAATGTTCTTGAGGTTACATGCTTGAGCTCTGACCTATTTGCTTCTGACTTATTCAAGAATAATAAATCAGCTTTTCTGAGAATCCTTCTTGTTGTTGCAAGTTCAGCCACAAAATAAGCTTTTGCATCTTCTGCAATTATTGAGATTTATGCCTTCCTGCCCAAGAGCTGAGTTTGGCCACCTATAATTTTTCTCATTTTGAGCAGTTTAGTTTTTCTGGTTTTTAGAAATGCAGCAAACTAGATCTGCACTAGTGTATTCAGTTCCTGCTTTGAAGCAAGATGAAATTCAGTTTGTAGTGAGAAGAACCTCTTCTAATTATTCATCTTGGAAGTCTAAATTCAGATAAACAGACCAATTTAGTGAGCTCCACTAGATACTTGGTAGACACTTTCTTCCTGCTGTATATTTTGGCCTTACATTGAGGAGTTTGATTTATTATTAAATTATTTGTGTATGCAGACTTTAATCTGTACGTATTTTACTTTGATGTATTAGGATTTGTAAATATTACTGATTTTTAAATATTATTTATGCACATACTTAAAGGACTGGTCTATCCAGAAAAGCAATTGCTAAATAATAAATGTTACTTTTTAGAAATAAATTGCAAGATCATTAAATTGTATATCCCTCAGGGTTATTTTTAAAGCTTTTTTTTCTCTTCCCTTCAGATTCAATTAGCAGTAACTCTAGTTTCATGTACTATAGAACTAAATCTACTGTAAAAAGAAAATGCTGCAAATAACGCTTGAGTAGAAGCGGCTAAAACACCCACAGAACTGACTGTCCATATTCATCAGAACTTCAAATTGGAAACTCTTACTGTTGCACTTTTTAAAAGTTGTTGGATTTTTAATTCTATTTATTTTTTTCTTTCTTCATGAAGGCTGTACTGAACAGTCATCCCAAATTGGGTAAATAATCCTATACTGTATATGTATATACAGTATAATACTAAGCAGATGTGGAGTCCTTTTTATGCTGCAAATTTTTAATGCTTATGTTGGTCATCACAAAACGAGAGAGCTAAAGTTCTGTAGGATTTCTCCCATGAAATTCTGAATTGTAAACTTAGGTTTTTGTATGTCTAAGGGAAAGCTGTGGGGTTTTGACAGTTTTTAGAGTCTTGAATATTTTGATTTTATACAGTAAAGCTTCAGGTTTTTAAAGCTATTTTCAACAAACTGCAGCTTGTTTGATAATTATGTAAACCAGAAACTACTCAGTTTGTCATTAATTCCTCAAGCCTAACACAGATTAAAAGGTTCATCATTACAGCGCTCTCTAGAAGCTCAGCTTCCTTTTTATTTGTAGATCTGAAATGATACTACATCATTGTATTTAAAATATGTATTGCTGCTCTAGAATGGTACCCTGTTGTCAAGAGGCATACATAAATAACTGTACAATAGAATTGTAAATAGACTTGTAAATCATTTTTGTGACTGAAGCTCTTTGAAAATAAAATTAAAATGAACAGATATTTTAATTCTTTTCATTAGTTTCATGGAATTGTTTTTAATGTTTATACAGTTAGATTCAAAGCTTCTTGAAGAATACAGACTTACTCCCACTGATCATGGGTATCTTGTTCAGTGTCTCTGAAGTTTTGAAGATGGGGGTGGCGAAGTAGGCATGCTGTGTGTTAGCAGTACATATGGTAGCACTGCTCTTCTGCAGTGGGATAATACTGACCATACTTTTACCTGGTGGCTGATGAGAGCCATTTTTAAGCCAGAGCTTGTACATGTGATAGCAGCTTGTTTCCACCTTCTGTTATCCAGATGTTCCTTCTGTTCTTTGACACGTGGGAGACATTATCTTGAAAAGACTCTAGGGCAAATGTTCCTGGTTGTGAGCTGTCACTGTTGTCACAGTCATCTTCAGAAAAAACACACAGAAACGAAGACATCTTTTGCATCCTGCAGCTCACCTTCTATTTAAACATTCATTGGTAGGGCACATTGGTTTAAACTTGAAGACAAGATACTTGAAATACTTCATTACTTAATTACAAAAACTTAATCTTTCAATTTCAAGCTAATATTTTGGTATCTTAAAGCTTTTCTCTCTTCAGAATCTTTCAGGCTTTAGGTTTTGTTGGCCTGTGAATCTAGAAGATTTGGAGGAAGAACAGAAGACACATGGGTCAACCCTGAATTGCTTAGTCAGTATTAAGTAAAAAACTTCATTCCTTATCAAATTGCTTTGACACCAATCCTGCAAGAAAGTAAGTCAGAGCATCCTTGTGAAGGTACATATAAATGCCTTGGTTGTTTAAAGTAGATGTGTCTACTCCAAAACCTAATGCATCTGTGTAACACTCTGGTGAAACTGTCTAACAAATTTGAAATTTCTGATTTGAAATGTAAATTTCTGACTTTACCCAGATTTGCTTTGGGTTGGCTGAAGCACATACTCCAATATCACTGTCAAAGAAGCTACAAGTGTGTCTTGTGCTGTTGCATGTGTGACTTCAAACTTTCTCCTGTTCTGTCAGTGGTTTCCAATTCTACTTCTGGAGTTGCATACAGCCTATGGAACCTGATTTGCTTACACAACTGAATGTAGGCAAAATCTGCTCTGAAACTTAAAATATTCTCTAAACTTTCACAGTAGTTATGCAAATATGAGTGAAAGTGTTATCTAGAGGATGCGTTTTGCTGTTTTACTTCCCATTTAAAGTGCAGAATCATGGTGAAGCCTGATTGCCTGCTATGCTCCTAGTAAGTTCTTCTAGGAAGCAGATGAGTTTCTAAGGTACAGTTCAAAATTCCATTTTCATGCTCATATGAGTTTAGAAATTTGCAAGAAAGTAAAAAAGTTAAGCATCATAGTAAATGATACATGTGCTCAGTATTCTATGAAACTAAGTTAAAAACTGATTTTTGAGTTTTAATATAGTAACAGATTATTAATATATTGCTTCTGGCATCCTTTCATATTCTTGAGAAACACTAAGGGGGTGGTAGAAAGGGAAAGAGGCTGTAGGCCAGAACGTGGTAAATGACCATCCAGGCTGGTGTCCTTTCTGGAATGCCAGGTGTCTCACAAGAGGGTTTGAGGAAATTTTAATACACAGCAATGTATAATTATGACCCTTACATGGATCTTGCTGTATTCTCTACTACTAAAATCTTCAATTACGGAACTTTAAATGTTTCTTTAAAAAATACCATTAGCCGCTCTAGATGTTTGAGACCCACAGGATTATCTAGTTCCTGTGCCAGTCATATGCTTGTGGCCTTAATTTCTTACAAAGAATTTCTACCATTTCATTGTTTGTGTAAATCCATGTGTGTTAGCACTGCTGAGTGTCTAAGATTGTCTTATTGAATACTCTTACCTTTTGTTATAAGGCCAGGAAAATGGACATACCCAGTCAAGCTTTAGGCTCTCTTACTTTAGACTCTGGCCTGCAGTCGTGCCCTCTGAGGGACCTGCATTTGCAGTCTTCAGTATAACAATTTGGATTATATCGCTCTCCCCACCCTGCCCCTCCCCCCCCAATTTTGGTTTTTAGTTCCTTATCTCTCCAATCTCACTGAATCCTGTAGTTCTGCTGTGGCCTTGGGTTGAGTTGGTGCAGGTTGAGATGCCAGTCAGGGCTGGAAACCAAAATTTCTTGGAGTGGTTGTGCTCAGGTACTACCACCCTGAAGCGGCTCTGCAGCTGCCCACCCTGTGCCCGGGGGGGCCGAGGCACTGGCCCCGGGTGGGGGGTGCCGAGGCACTGGCCCCGGGTGGGGGGGTGCCGAGGCACTGGCCCCGGGTGGGGGGGTGCCGAGGCACTGGCCCCGGGTGGGGGGGAGCCGAGGCACTGGCCCCGGGTGGGGGGGTGCCGAGGCACTGGCCCCGGGTGGGGGTGCCGAGGCACTGGCCCCGGGTGGGGGGGTGCCGAGGCACTGGCCCCGGGTGGGGGGGTGCCGAGGCACTGGCCCCGGGTGGGGGTGCCGAGGCACTGGCCCCGGGTGGGGGGGTGCCGAGGCACTGGCCCCGGGTGGGGGGGAGCCGAGGCACTGGCCCTGGGGGCGCCCAGGGATGTGCTCATCATCAGTGGGCTGAGGTGGGGATAGCTAGCATCAGGCACAGGTTGGCTTACCAGTTAACTGAGGTCAAAACATCACTGTTTTATGAGATGGTCAGTTCTGGGGTGTGTGTGGGATTACTAGGAGGGCAAGATTCTCTGAAAGAGTCTTGTTTTACATGGAAAAGCCCTTTGGAAGGGTGGAATCTCATGGCTTTTTTCTGGCGAGAGTCTCATTCAGAGTTGCAGAAGGCCCAGTCAGAGCTTGCTTTGCAGCACTGCGTTTCTGATAGTTGATGCCACTAGGTGCTGTGCCTTTCCCTTCCCGAGGAAGGGATGTATATTTTAGCAGTCTTAAGTACACTGAACCTGACCAAGAAATTTTTTTTCTTTTTTTTTTTTTTTTTTTTTAAAGTACTTCTGCTTCTTTTGGTGCAGCAGCTGTTTTTGATCTGTGGTGGTATGTTCTTGTCAGCAGTTCAGGCATGTGAGAAGCTCAGCTGCCCCACCTGACTTCTTTTTAAGTGATGGGGTTTGTACCCGTGTCTGTCTGTGGAGTTGGTACAGTAAAGCTTCATCCTTGCCCCTGGAAAAGAGTATGTTGGGATGGAGCTGCTGCCTCGCCCCAGTGTTCTCGGTGCTGAAGACTGACAAAGAGTTGGCTCTTCCAGTTGTCTGCAGAACTTGTCCAGCTATTTCAACAGTCCCAGCTGCTGCTTCTCCTGCTGATCAGCCAGTGCTTCACTTCCAGGTTTCTGATACACTTGGATTTGCTGATTTCACTAAGGAAGTATTTCTAAACTCTGGATTTCTGTTTGACTTGCTCTTTTAAATATTATCATTATAGCTACAATGATTGCTTTTCTGTTCCTTTTTTTGTTTGGAAATCTATACAACTTTCCAACTTTGGGAATAGGTTTCATGCAGATCTACTTTTATTGCTACAGCTTTCTAGCTAACTTCATGGCACTTCTTTCCTCTCATTTCATCGTATTTTTAATACTACTGATAACTTAGTATTGTGTTAAGCTGTTGAAATGAGACTCGTTGGTTATCAGAGGCTCACTACTGTCCTGTGCTACCCGAGCTCTTGTGTGTTATTTCAGGCCATGTCAAAAATAGCCTGTTGCTTCTTGGGTGTTCTTGTGCTGTTCCAAGAAGCTATCACTTGCACATGCTGAGAGATGATTTAACAGAACTGTGTGCTGTTTTACTTTTGGCCACTTAAAATATAGGACACCCTTTTTACTTCCATTATCTATTTTGCAGGCTAAACTTTATTTTTTAATCTCACGTAACCCACAATAAAAAAATATTGTGGATGCAGGACCTCTTGGTAATTTTTTTTTAAAGACTTTCTGTCTGTAACTTAGTATAATGCTTTTCTGGTCAAATAAATGCATGCCTTATGACTACTTAGAGTTTCATCATGATTTTCATACGCTTTTATTATATTTGACTAGTATAGATATAAGCAAGGAATACTGGATGTACAAATAGCTTTGTCTGTACTTCTCAGTGTAAGCTGACCACCTTAGAAATATTTGCAGTCAACAGTGATAGAGGTTTTTAAGTTTGCTTTCAAGCCAAGAGAGATTCCACACATTTTCAGGTTTTATGATATATTTATACAACTTTGTTGGCTGCTAAGTTATTAACTACCTGTGATCAGATCCTGACTCTCTCTCATCTCTTCTAACAGCTAATGTTTCTGACACTTCAACGAGGATGTTGGTGTTTGGTTTGTCAGTGATGATCAAGCTTTTCTTCCAGTTGGATGCATCTATTTGTCCTGAGAAGTGCAACTGCTCTTCAGAAAATGCAATTCATTGTTCTGGTCCCCACATAAAACACCTGGAATCCTTAAATCTGCCTTGCAACATGACAGAAATTCACATAACAGACACTAATGTAACATATTTGCAGGATGTTTTTTCTAGGATGTTGGAACTGCAGCATCTCATCTTGTCTTCAAACAACATCTCTCTGATTTCACCAATGGCTTTTAAAGGCTTGAGAAGGCTAAGAGCCCTCAAACTTCTAGATAATAAACTGGTTGAACTTCCCCCAGAAGTGTTTGACGACATGGTACAGCTTAAGCAATTGATCATTGAAAATAACAGGTTGAAATCCATAGAAGAAAATCTGTTTGACAAACTAGCTAGTTTGGAGGAGCTTTTCTTGAACAAAAACCAACTAACAGCACTTCCTAGCGGTGTGCTGAAGAAACTTGCCAAACTCAAAGTACTGAACTTGTCGAGAAATTATTTGGCAGCACTGCCTAGAAATGTATTTAGTGCATTAAGCAGGCTTGAGAAGCTGATGCTGTATTTTAACAGGCTGTCTTCAATAGAGTCTGGTATGTTTGATAGCCTGAAAGAGCTGCTGGAACTCTTCCTGCATTCCAATAACATCCAGTCCATTGCCCCTGATGCATTTCATTGCCTTCATAAACTGAGAAGCCTAACGCTCTCCAGAAACAAGCTTGAGGTTTTGCCTCCTGGGCTCTTTCTGCACTTGCCTGACCTGTCTAAATTGACCTTGTACAGGAACCCACTGAAGTCTCTTCCAGAAGTATTGTTTGGAGAAATGAGGCACCTTGGTAGCCTGTGGCTGTACCACACAAAGCTCTCAACAGTACCAGATTTCGTGTTCAGTAACTTGACAAATTTAGAGCTTCTTGTGCTGAGTTTTAATCCAGAGCTTAGTGTTCTTCCTAAGAATGTATTCAGTGGTCTGAATGAACTGCGGGGCCTTTCTCTGCATACAAATAACATTTCCAGTTTGCCAGAGGGCATCTTCCTGAGCCTTCAGAAACTGCAGAACATTTCCCTTTTTGATAAGACGCTTGAGGTTCTTCCTAGAAACCTCTTTCACAATCTCAAGCACCTTCAGAAAGTTTACCTGAATAGTACTAAGCTGCAGACTCTTCCTGGAGACTTCTTTACTTTTTTACCGGAGCTGCAAGAAGTCTTCCTTGACAACAACCCTTGGAAATGTGATTGCCAAATCCTTGGCTTCCGAGAGTGGCTCCAAAAGAGCATGGAGATAGTTAGAAATGTGCCATCCCTCATGTGTCACAGCCCACTGGCACTACAGAATATTTCTCTTGTGGCTCTAACAGTTGATCACCTGAAGTGCCTGCCAACCACAGCCATTACATACCAGACGTTCAGCTCAGCTTATTCCCAAACTTCAACTTCTCTTGTGATGGTACACATAACATCATCCTGGGAGACTACTGAAACAGCAGTGCCTGACACGGACACCAGCACGCCAACATCAACTCCTCTTGCAACTCCAGGTTTTACCTACTCAGGTGTTGAACGTGTTGGACAGCCTACGTTTCCTTTCTCAGATGTTCCAACCCAGACTTCTCTCAGCATCGTAGTACAAACCAACAGTGTCGGTGGAACAGACTTAACTACTGCTGTGTGGTGGGATGAGTTGCCAGCCCTCAGGAGTGCTAAACCCTATTTTAATAACAGAGTTGCTTATTGTCAGCTATTCTTGTGCCTTCATAGTTTGATTTTAGCAGTCCAGTCTGTAACCATTGTGCTCAGTCTGTATGTGATGGGTAAAACCAGGCAACTCTTGCACTCCAGAAATACTTACGCTCAGCCTGTAGTTCTAATAAAATTTTTAAGAAGATAGATAATATCAAATATCAGCCAAAGAGAGGATTAGAAGCATTGTTTTGGGTGCGTTTCAGGCATTTAGGCAGCTGACACTTGATTCAGGTATGGATTACAAATCTTCATAGCAAGAACCATAAAGACCTTGTCTTTACAGCGTAACAAAAACGTGCTTTTACATACTTTACAGTGTTTGCCAAAAGTGGTTTTAATCACTGTATATTGCTACAGCACTTGATGCATGATCCCAGAGGGAGAGCTTGAAGGAAGATCTGTGGTCACCTCTACGTGTGTGCTACTAGGTTCCTGCCTTGGACTGCAGCCCTGCCCCTGCCAGACACCACTGCTTACCATCACGTCACGCTGCTCCGATGGCAGTGGCATCAACGTAGGGAAGTCTGCATAGCACAGGAACATGGCTTTAAAGGTTGCTCATAGCACTCCAGATGCTATTGTGCCTTATACTGCCTGCAATGTTTTGTCTCCTTATTGAGAAAACAAATGGTATTTTGGGGAGGAGATGCTGGAAAAGGGGTGGGGGCAGAATGGTATGGTGCAAGTGTCTTAGTTTTTGCTTTCTGTCCACAGTCTCTTTCCAGGACATGGCGGGAGGAAGAGGTACCATTTAAAGCTAACAGTGCTTTCCTCTAACTTAACCAGAGGAAGATAAGTAAGATGCTGGGCTTGGAAGTATAATCGTGATGTATTATGTTGTTCGTTTGGGGTTTTTTTTGAAACCTTGTAACATTACTACAACTTTGAATTTTAAGTAAACACTTTCATCCTTAAACTTTGACCAGTGGTCTGAAAATCAAGGTGTTACTCACTGCACGATGCAGTGAGTTGTGAAACCAGAGCACCAGGCAGGTGCCCAGGACTGAGACTTGGTTCCACAGGAGCGTAGCTGGTTTGAGAGCTGGCCTCAACTGAGCTGGGAGAGAAAAGGGATGGTCCCTCCTGGGCTTGGCTGGCAAAACATAGGCGTGCAGCAAAGTGGGAGGGAGCTTGCCTGAACTGAGGGCCCTGAAGTGTCACCATGTGTTTTGAAGTTGGCTGGGGCACATACACATTTCCATCAAATTGCAGTGTGCAGTAGCATAGTCAGTCTGTACTTTTTACCTTTTCTTATTACACAGTGTTACGCCCTGACTTCCAGCCCTTTCAAGTGTTGATATACAAAGGCAACTTCAAAGCAATAGTATGGGTTTTGGTCTTCATACTGAAATGTTTATTAATATTTTGAACGATATGAATAGTTTGTAAGCAGACTGGTAGTTGTCAGACTGCATGTGCTTTGGTAGCTCTTGGATTTCACTCTTAACTTTTATCTTAATTATGTGACTTAGCTTGTTCTCAGAAGCTCTAATGTTGTATTCAAAAGCCTCTGGATGTGGTTCCCTGGCTCCTTGGGCAGGAGACACCATAGGAGTCCTTTTGTACCCTTACTGACTTTCTAACTGCTGAGGTCTTTCCTGGATGGCCTTGAAATGGCACATTACAAGCCTGAGGTGAAGAGCACTTGCATTTGCTGCAGGTCTGTCGTATGTTACTCTAGACAATGAGAATAAACTACAGACTGCTTTGTTTCAGGATGGTCTGCTGTTGGACTTGAATTCCTCTTCTAGGCTGTGAAAAGAGACAGTGTGCTTCTATGGTGTTAAATAACCAGAGTCTTGCTGGTGAGGTTTAACAAAATTTAGCAAGCCCCGCTTCTAAAGAAGGAGAAATAAAAGTTGCTACAGCTGATGCAAAGCAAACTGGGACTGGATTCATAAACAGAAGCGCCAGAATATATATTGCTATATATTTGGGAAGCACAAAACCAACACAAAGCTTTCTTGGTGGTGGTTCTGGGTGGTTGCATGCTAGTGCTTGAAAGGAGGCAGTTGTTACAAATTTAGGATCTTGGTCAGACAACTGTAATGACCACTTAGTGTTGTGCCAGCTCCAGCACTGTCATACCAGTGCCACGCAAGCATCTGCTCGCAGCAGGCAGGAGAGAAGTATAATCTGGACTAACGAAGAAATTGTTCTACAAACCATGTTGTCTATTGTTTGCCTTGGCGGGGCGCTGAACAAATGTGCTCGTGGCTATGGGCACTCGGATGCACACTGCCTGATTTTTAAGAAAAAGCACCAGTTGGGTTGCCATATGGGCACACGAGACCCTGATGTCCGACCTGGGGAAGAGCAGCGGGGTTAGCAGCAGCTGCATCTCTCCGCACCCTCCTCTGGCTGCCCCAGCCCTGCAGCGGGGCCAGCTGGGTCTCTGCATGGCTCCTTTGGCTCCTGTTCTGCAGTTGCTGAGCTCTGGCACGTGGGTCGTTGGCACACAGCTGTGTAGTTAAGTGCTAAGAGGAGGATGATTCGTCTTTACATGCTGTCATGGGGCTTTCCCCACTCTTCAGCCAGACGGGGAAGTGAAGTCAGCAGACAACAAAAGGCTGAAGCAATAAGGGCCTGGGGTGTTTTACTAACTCTTCCTCTGAGGTGTCCTGTTTTGAGCTGCCTCTGATTCATTGTTTGCTGCCCAGCAGAGCTCAGCCCTTCCTGCAAAACTCCCTGGCCTGGGAAATCCAACAATATGCTTATTTATATCCGATCTCTGTTTCACTTGGAGAAGGGACAGTCTTCCAGCTCGGGTGGTGGTAGCGGTGGCAGGTGGGGAGGCAGCAGCGAGGGTGCCTCGGGGAAAGCGCAGCTGCACCTCCGACCCTCCCTCTGGGCACCATTGCCTTGCTGTTGTCTCAAGGCTTCGATGGCTTGACATTACCAGTGTATTAGCAAGGTTTTTCTCAGTCCCTGCAGCCTACGCTTCCATGATCTACTGCCCAGCCTTTGCCACCAGGCTGGGCTTGGGGGTACCGTGGGCTGGAAAACGTTGGAGGTATCTAATCCCTGGTCCAGGGGGGGTCCCTGCTCCCCGGGAAAGGGTGGATGCAAAGCACATCTGCACTCAGTGGCTGAGGGGATAGGCTTCACACTCTTGGCTCCTGTGTGGGATGCGGAGTCATAGTTAACAGCCCTGCATGTTAACCAGACCCGAGTCCAGGAGCCGACTCCAGGGCCGCATCCTCATCAGGAGTGCTCGGGGTGCGTCACCAGCACAGCCTCGCCAAGGGTCTTCCGTAACTCACTTGGTTCCCTCAGGCGCTTGGTTCTGTGGCCGTTGTTCCTGCTCTCTCTGTTGTAGGAAATCCTGGAGCAGTGGGAGCTCTGACCCACCGTGCCGGGCCGTTGGGAGTACGCAGCATGTTTCCAGCCTGATGTCATGGCAGGAGCCATTCTCCTTTGCTTGTTGGGACTTGAGGGCTGAGAGTCCCCAAGGAGCAGGGTGGCGAGGAGGGACTTCACTGCTGCCATAAGCTCTGGCAGCTCTCTGCCTGTTTCCCAGCTGCTGCAGGACACCTCCAAGCCACCCACACCCATGTCCTGTTGTATCCCTGGTGTCCCTGTCCTTTCCATCCCACCTCTGTCCCGTGAGGGCAGTAGCTGCTGGAGGGCTCTTGTTGCTGCTTGGAGAGGGGAGTGAGCTCAGGTAAGTGCCTACTAAATGCAGCTCAGCCCTCCAGCACACAGCAGTGAGATTGGAGCCTGCACCTTGGATCTTCCCTCTCCCGGAGGCAAAGAGAAGCTGGGTGATAGCAGATGTGCTCGGAGGAGACACCCAGCAGTGCTCAGTGGTTGAGGCATGCGTGCGACTGCTGCCTGTGAGGCAGCAGCTCCGGGAGCCCCTGCCTGACGTGATGGAGTATTGGCCGTGTCTCCTCCAGGCCTCTGACCAGCACATCTCGCCTGGGGATGCTGATTCAGCAGCCACGGTATCGGAGCACGGCATTTCCTAGGGATGACAGAATAGCTGGGAGGAGATGCAGCCAAAGGCATGTACCAGTGGGACAAGGCTGGGGTTGCATGTGTTTACAGACTCTCGCAGTGATCAGGAGGCCTGAAGCTCCTGCTTTGCCCCTGCTCTTTCCAGATGGGCAAGTTACAGAAGTGTTATGCCTCTATTTTCGCAGCCAAAGTCTGGCCTTGCATCTCCTTCCCTCCTAGGTGTTTAGGGGTAGACGAGCCCGGGCAAAGCCTCTTGCACCATGGTGTGTGAGTCTCACTCCATTGTGGGGTCAGGGGCTGCTGCTCCAGCAGCACCCTCAGCCATCCCACCACCGGGCTCAGCCCCTCTTGTACGATTGCTGCTGTGTGGCTATTGTGTTTCTCCCCAATGTGCCAGGCTTCCAGATGTGTCTTCGTGTCTCTAGATGAAAAAAGCCCAGGGCAGGGAGCCAGTGATGGCTGGCAGCAGCTCCCCAGCCTGCTGTGCACTGCTCTGCCGGCTTCCCCTGAGCGCTGGGGGGAGATAGGGCCCTTTCCCTGTTGGGAAGGGGTCCCTGAGGCACTCTCTGGTGCCAGGGATGGATTTACAGAGATGGAGAACAGGGCAAAGCTGGTCCAGCAACCACTTCGCAATGCATGAGCCGGGACAGTCCCCCACCATTGCCTCCTGCTCCAGCTGGTCCTTCCCTCCCCCTTGCAGCGCCCATCGGACAAGCTCTTTCCGTTTTGGATTATCTCTCCAGGCGGACTTGGCTGCAAGCCCTGCATTCCTTCCAGCCTAGCACTGCCCTGAGCCCGCGCCAAGTCCTGTGTGCTTCTGCTATCGCCTGGGGCTTGGGTCAGGGCTGAGCCTGGAGAAGGGGATTCTGTGGGCTGGGTGGGCCCTGCTTGTGCCTGAGATCCTAAATGCCCGATTCTGTGGGCTGGGTGAGCCCTGCTTGTGCCTGAGATCCTAAATGCCCTTTTCTGTGGGCTCCAGGAGAGTTGTGTTGGTGCTTGGATGGAGGTTAGCCTCCTGGCCATCCCTGTGCCCTACCCTGGAGGGACCAGGGCTTCTCCTCCTTCCCAAAGCTCCCACCTGGCACATGCAGTTTCCCAGGGAAGGCAGGACATGTCCCCAGCTCTTGGGGCAGATGCAGATGGAGCATCCTGGAGCTGTGAGCAGCAAGGCAGCCCTGGCCCCCCATTCCTTAAGCAGGGAGCTGAAAGTGCCCTGGGGGCTGGATCGCTGGCCCTATGGAGGAGCTCTCTGTTTTGGGCTCCTCAAAGGGTTAGGGTGGGCATCTGGTGGGGAAACGGCTGCTGGTACCTCTCTATTGGGTGGGGGGGCCCGAGAGACTAATGCACCTTCCTTCACCCCTCAGCTGTGATTCGAGCCTGTGTCTTGCTGCAGGGCTCAGGCCTGGAGGTATCTGTGCTAGAGCACTGAGGGGACACCCCCCCAGCCCAGCCCTCTGCCCCCCTCCTCCTCCGCTTGAGCAGAGTTTGGCCCGATGCCCTGGGCCAGCCGGTCTCTGTAAGCACCGGGGGCCATTGGGGGGGTTTCCCATAGCAGTGAGCACTTCTCAGCAGTGCAAAATAACGGGGGGGGGGGGTGGGCGTTCCAGCCTGAGCGGTGAGGTCTGGGGATGTCCCATCCCTCCTGGGGTGGGGGGGCGGGTAGAGGTGATTCAGCCGGGAGCTGGAGGTGTGAGGGGAGCAGGGGCTGAGGTGAGAGCTGGGGGGGGGGGGGGAGCTGGGGCTGCCGGGTTGTGCAGCAGCGTGGCGTGGGTGAGCGTGCTCAGCTGTTTGGCAGATGAGCAATGCGCCCTCCTGGCCAAGCCCACAAGCTGCTAATTTTAGCGATTACATGAAATTTTCCAAGCAGTCTCGAATCCCTTGGTGATTCAGAGCCGCTCGGCTTTGCTGTGTCCGTCACCCCGGCTGTGAGGATGCACTGGAAGTGTGCCAGCACCAACAGACCCAGGACTGTCCTGCTGTCCGTCAGCGAGGCAGATCTCCCCACAAATAGGTGATGCTGCTGTTCTGGGGCTCCTGGATCCTCCCCAGCTGGTGGTGTTTTGGGGCTGAACTTCGCAGGGGGGAGCACCAGGGCTTGTACAAGAAGCCACAGGTCAGACAGGAGCTGTGGTGGGGCTGGGAACTCAGATGGCTAAATGCAAGTGGCTTGGAGAGCGTGGCCAAGGGTTGCCTGCTCCTGGCCCTGCCGGCCTCCAGGAGCTGCAGGCAGGGGTATGTCAAAGCACGAGGGCTAGTGCTAGCTGGGACCACTAGCCCCAGGACCTCCAATCCCTCTGTGGGCTCAGCAGTGTGCGGAGAAACACCTGCAGAAAGTACTGGGGGCTCTCTGGTGCAAGGGCAGCTCCAGCCCAGGCTGTGGGGCAGCACCATGAGCTCTTGCTTTTCACCGCACAGCGGTGTTTGGCCACTGCCTGGGGTGAGAGATCAGAAAACTGCCCTTGTGCAGGAGGGGAGGGCTGGGGGCTCTGGGGGAAGGAGACATTCCCCAGCCCAGCTGTGACTGCAGGTTTCAGTGCCAGCCCTATCTCACGAGGGCACAGGGTCTGGCAGATGCCTACCCTTGGGCTCCATCATCCCCTTAGAGGCCTAGGGACACAGCAGTGACTCCCCGCTGCCCCAAGCTTGGTGTGGGGACTTCAATCTTTCTTTGGCTGGTGCAGCTGGAGGTGGGGAAGGTTCCCAGAGCACTGCTGGGCTCTGGGGCTTTCCTGTGGCATGAGGCTAGCTCCACTACATCCAGCACCGTGTGAGCTCTCAGCTATGCACAGCATCCTCCCTCCTCCAAACGCTTACCTCACGCTCACTCACATCCCTGCGCTGTCTCAGGGAGCTGCCTCTCCCCTCCAGATGTGCAGAGCGTGTCAGTGCTGCTATCCCAAACTCTCACACTCTCTGCTTCTCTCCCTTGTGCATAGCCTGGGGCAAGCTCCTGTGCGCTCACCTCCGGGAGCAGCTCCTTCTGCTGCGGGTGCGGTGCACGGGCTTGCGCCGTTACTCAGACTTATTTTATTTTTAGGGATGTCTTGAAAACAGACTCATCCTTCCCAGCCAGGAGCAGGAGCCAAGCTCCCTAGGCCTGGGTAGAGACAGATGGGTTTGTGACAGGGCTGTTACCTGGGCTCCTCTGAAACGTTGGGCAGTCTGCGTGGCTGTAGGGACCACAACCTGATCCCCCCCCCTTCCTGGGGGCAGGGTCTTTGAAGGTACCAACCACTTCATCCCCATCCCCCCGGGGCAGCGCTGCTTGGAAGGAGCTGAGTCTGACATTCCTCTGTCGGACTGGGCTTCGGGTGGTGGTTTTTCGGAAGTGCTGGGGTTTCATTTCTGTGTTGCCTTGCTGAAAAGCTGTGTGCTTCTGGGATGAGTCAGAGCAGGCGGGAGCCCAGCAGCGCTGGCGGCGGGCAGACAGAGCCGGTGATAAGGGTGCGATAAGGCCGTGAGAGCCCTGCTCTTGTGCCAGGGCTGCAGGGAGCGGGCAGCTCCCCATCCCGCTGCCTGACCTCCAGTTGCACCACTGTCAAGGAAGCGGGGAAGTTATTTTGGGAACCACAGTGCTGGGAAAATCTGCTGTGTCAATAGAGTGTGAGCTAAATCACTTGTGGGTGGTGGTTTCAAGATGCCCCTTCTCCGTGTCCAAATGCCTGGGCTTTGCCCCAGGAGCAGGCAGAGAGCGTGGTTGGGGGGTAGCCCCAGCCTCGGTGCTCGCTCCCCAGCCGGGGAGGGCTCTGTGGCCATGTCCCGTGGCAGCTGGGCCCCCCATGAAATCTGATGTACTGGTGGTGGTTGCCTCCGGCTGACGTCCCACTTCCTACCCTCTTCCCATGATCCCTGTCACCTTCCTCTGAGTCTGGCTGGAAAGTCCCCTCTCCATCCCTTCAGTTTGCTGTTTATCCTGATCTGGTCCCCTCCTTGAACAGTGTCCCTGTCCCCTGCACTGCCCTGCGCCCTCCCACCCCTCACAGCCCGGCACGACACGCTGCGGCATGGGGATGGAGGCAGCTTTCTTCCCACCTCTCCGGCAGCAGTCCCGTGCTGTTCCCATCTCGAGCAGCTCATTAGCACTGGCTGGGACCTGAGCAGGGGTTGCTGTGGCTGGCGGAAACATGGGTGGGCTGAGATGGGATTAGACATGGTCAGGGAAATTCCAGCTGCCCCGTGGTTAGCACGGGACTGCTCCAACTCCAGGAAGCCCAAAGGGGCCACGCATGCTGGCTCTCTTTAGCTGCTTCCTCCCGAATATCTGTTCCCGGCAGCTGCTGGACTGGGGCTGCCCAGGAGAGGTGGGCGAGGGAGGGGACCTGGGTTGGATGGTGGGGACCAAGGGGTGTGCACCCATGTGGGCTGGAGGGGAAAGGGAGGGGTGGTAGCAGGTACCCTCGAAAAAGTGGATGGGACAGGCTTGTACCCTGCCTCCCAAACACTGCTGGGTGCTGGGCTCCATCACCCATGTGTCAGGGCTGCTGAGGATGAGGAGCAGCATATGGGCTGCAGCACATCCACGGCAGCCCCCGGGAAATGGCAGCGTGTGCCGTTTTGGGGTTACAAGGCTGCTTGCAGCCAGCAGCAGCAGCACTGCCGACCCCTGCTTGGTGCCCGCTCCCGGGCTGGGCTGGGTGAGGTGCCTGTGGGGCAGAGCCCTGCAGTGGGTGCTTGTGGGGTCGTGGCCCCTTTGCACCTGTGGCTGTGGGCAGGGAATGAGAGCTGTGACCCTGGGCAGGGTCGGCGTGCTGGGGGGCTGCCTGTGCTGCCAGCCCTGGGCTGGGGCACGGCCGGAGGTCCCGACTCTTGCGGGAGCTGTAGCTGAGGAGGACAAGTGCCGTGCGTATGTCAGGGCGATGCCCTGGAGCAGCCCCAGTGTGAATGCGTGCCAGGGAAGGGCAAAACTGTGCCCAGGGGCCTGGCTTCTCCTCGCCTGCCCCCATGGGTCAGGTCACCCAGCCATGTCCCACCGGGGACCAGGGGGTCTCCAGGACTGAGCTGCTCCCTGGGTGCTGGCTGACATGAGCAGCATGTTGACGGGGCCGTCTGCTTGTCTCCAAACAAGAGCACTGGGGTTCAGGAGAGGGAAACCCAAAACTACATCTTTGAGACTCTTGCTCTGTTTGCAGAGGAAATAGGAGTTGGAGGCAGCTCTGCTCCAGCGCTTTCCCTAACCCCGACGCTGCCCCTGTGCTGATTCATTGATTTGGACGGGTTATATACTGGGAGGGGAAGCATGAACCACACTCGGCTCTCTTGCCAGCACAGAGCTGTGCTCGCTCGGCGCTCACGGCTGCAGGACACTCGGGTAAGTCTTCTCTCCACTACCACCCGTGTGAGTGGCCTCGGGCCTGGGGGACTCCCGGGGCAGCTCCAAGGGGTGGTGGCGCGGCGGCGGGATCTGCATGTTCAGCATCTTTTGATTTGATGGCGATGTTTGTCTTGAAAGGATTCTCCAGAAAAGCGAGACCACTTAGGCATTGTGGGAGCTGCAATAGTAATATAGGCAACATATCTTAAATAATAACCAATAGGGAAAATGAAGGGGGGAAAAGTAACATTTAGGGGGGCTGAGGTTGGGAGCAGTGGGATGCTGAAAGGCTGAGCAGTAGGGAATATTCAGCGTATTGGTCTGTAAACTTTTTGTCCCTAGAAGAAAAGAGGAGATAAATTGTTTTCAGCTGCCTTTCCTGAAGGGCGCTCCAGCGTGGATTCTCTGAGCTGCATTACCAGGGAGTGACATGAGCAGGGCTTTTGATGTGCAGAGTGTTTGGGGAAGTTTATAAATGGCTCTCTATAAACAAAGCTGTTCTTGGGTGCAGATTGTTTCCATATGGGAAACATAAACTGCGCTGGCTTGTGGAGGGTTCCTCCCTCCCCGCCGCAGAGCAAGCGTGTGAGCAAGCATGTTCCCTGGGGGGAGCCCAGGGTGGAGGGCAGGGGCCGTGCCCCAGCACCCCAGGGTGCTGTGCCAGCCGGGGCACCGTGCCCACACCCCTGCACCGCTGAACTTGCCCATCTGGCTGAGCCGCACTCGGTGCCCGGGGAGCTGCAGGTTTTCTCTCTCCCTTGTGCCACTTGAAGCTGCTCCTTGCCAGCCTGGCACAAGGCTGCTGCTTTAATCTAGAGAGGGAGGAAGCTCCCAGGCCAGAGGAAGGAGGAGAGGGTGTCCATGGTGGCGGTGGCTGTGGGGTGATGGAGGACCTCGTTGTAAAGCCCTACCTCCCCCCAGGCACCAGGGATCCCCCAGGCACTACCCTGTGGGACCAGCTGCGTACAGGTGCCCACACCGACACCCTGCTTTCATGGCCCAAATCAGCCAGGATTGAGACCTTCTGCTGGGGATGGGGTGCACACAGGGTCACCCCTGTGCCCAGCCTGGGCTTGGTGGGGCTGGTAGAGGGTCCCGTTGACCCAGACTCCTGTAGGATTGGAGCTAAAGCTTGCCCAGGCAGTGGGGGTAGCGATGTCTTTGGCTCCGTGACAGCAGCTCAGAGCTGCTTGCCACCAGGCAGAGCCAGGAGGAGGGTGCTCAGGGGTGCTGGGGGAAGCACCTTTCTTCCTTGCCCCCAGCCAACATCTCTGGGACCTGCTCAGCTGCGGGTGCTGCCGGCTGGCTCTGGTGAAGGTCTCAGCTGCCCAGTGGTGCCAGGGGGGCCAGTGCCACTGGTAGCAGCTTGCCACGCTTACTGCAAAACAAGAAACCTCACTCCTGGCCACTGGAGGAGCCAAGCGAGGGGGATGTCAGGGATGCCACTAATAGCTGTGGTATGGCAGCCAGGCGCCGTGGCCCCGGCTCTGTCCTGTTCTGCGCTCCTGCCTGGGCTGTGCCCATTCCTGCCTGCCCCCAGCCTTCATCACCTACCCTCCTCTGCCCAGCTGTCGTGCTGAGGGCAGGATGGCCATGGCCTCAGTGGTCTTTTCCAGGGAGAAAGCAGCACCCATCCCTGGCAATGCTCCTGGGAGCTGGGAAATCAGGGGCTGAATCACCCTCCTTTGGTTTTGCTGCAGGCCAAATGGAGCGAGGAGGCTGGCAGCGGTGGCTGCTGCTGCTGCTGGGCATCCAGCTGGCCAGTGGCCAGTGCCCGGAGCAGTGCCAGTGCATCCGCACTGCCCAGGTGGAGTGCTCCGGGGCTGGCATCACTGCAGTCCCCAGCCCCATCCCTGCGAACGCCATGACCCTCCAGATCATCAACACGCGCATCGCCGAGCTGGCTGACGCGTCCTTTGGCAACGCCTCCCTGCTGATCGGGCTGCGCATCGAGAAGAACAACCTGTCGCGCATCAGCCCTGGGGCCTTCCAGCACCTGCCTGACCTGCGCTACCTCAGCCTGGCCAGCAACAAGCTGCAGGAGCTCCCCGTGCAGGTCTTTGAGCCCCTGGGCAAGCTGGAGTCTCTGCTGCTCTCCAGCAACCAGATCCTCCAGGTCGAGCCTTCCCACTTTGCCCACCTGAGCAACCTGAAGGAGCTGCAGCTGCACGGGAACAACCTGCAGGAGCTGAAGGAGGGGGTGTTCGACCAGCTTTCCAGCCTCACCAAGCTCAACCTGGCCAGGAACAACATCGACCGCCTGCCGCCCAGGGCCTTTGAGCGGCTGGCGCGGCTGCAGGTGCTGCGGCTCTATGAGAACCGGCTCCGCCAGATCCCGGCCGGCGCCTTCGATGGGCTGCCGGAGCTGCAGGAGCTGGGGCTGCACCAGAACCAGCTGGAGATGCTGTCCCCGGAGCTCTTCGTGCACAATGGGAACCTGCAGAAGCTCTACCTGTCCAACAACCTCCTCACCGCCCTGCCGAGCGGCGTCTTCTTGCCCCTGCACGCTCTCGCCAAGATCACCCTGCACGTCAACCGCCTGCGGGACATCTCCCCCGGCGCCTTCGGGCCCATGCCTGACCTGCGGGAGCTGTGGCTCTACGAGAATGAGCTTTCCACACTCCCCACCGCTGTCTTCAGCAACCTCACCCAGCTGCAGCTCCTGGTCCTCAGCAAGAACCGGCTGCGCTCAGTGGCGCCGGGGGCTTTCCGGGGCTTGGGGGAGCTGCTGGAGCTGTCCCTGCACTCCAACGCCCTGCGCCGCCTGGACACCCAGGCACTGGAGGGGCTGCCCAAGCTGCAGAACATCTCCCTGCACCACAACCAGCTGCAGGCGCTGCCACGGGGCCTCTTCAGGGCCACCCCGGGGCTGCGGCACCTGCAGCTGCATGCCAACGCCCTGGAGTACCTGCCCGCCGGGATCTTCTCCCCCCTGGCCGCCCTGCGAGAGGTGAAGCTGCACAACAATTCCTGGCGCTGTGACGAGGGCATCCTGCCCCTGCGAGGCTGGCTGGAGGACAACCCTCACAAGGTGGGCGACACCCCCCCGCTCTGTGCACAGCCCCCCGCCCTGCAGGGCACCCCCATCGCGGGGCTGCCGCGGGACCGGCTCCTTGTCCCCCGGCCCCCCACTGCCTCCCCCCATCCCGGCACCCTGCTCCCTGCTCGCTCCTCTGAGGTGTCATTGCCAGAGGGTGCCTGGACGGAGCCCCCCGTGGGGCTGCCAGTCTCCCCACAGGAGGAGGAAAAGGAGGAGGAAGAGGAGAGGGGGTGGTGGGGGCTGACGCGCATGCAGAGCGGGGTGGTGGTGGCGGTCATCGTGCTGGTGTGTGTGGCCCTGCTCGCTGCTCTGCTGGCGTTGGTGGTCTACGGCTGTAGGAAGAAGAGCCACGTTGTGCTCATGAGGATGAAGGCGCCCAATGAAGCCTGAGCCCCCAGCAGACCCTGAGGGGAGCAGTGCTGGCGGGGCATTCCCTCCCCGTGGGGCCAAGGGACATGACAGAGGCTCTGCATCAGCTGCCCTTGCTGATTGGGATGGGCTAGCATCACCCCGCGTGTTGTGTGTCCCCCTGTCCTGCTCTGCTTTGCCCTGCCCCTGCTCTGCAGCAGGGCATCTCCTCCAGGTGACCTCTCATGTGCTCTGTCCCCAGCCCCTCCCGCCTCCAGCGCAGCCTCTGTGCTCAGTCCCTGCCCAGGGGCCAGCAGCCGGGGTGCAGGGTGCTGAGAGGGGACCCCTCGAGCAGGGAGACACAGCCTGGCCATGATGGTGCTTACCCCAAACAACAGGACTTCCCCATCCTTCATCCTTCACCTTTCAGCGTTCCCTCCAGTGCTGTCTGCCCTTCCACTATCCCCCACCAGCCCCTCTCCTCCATCTGCCACCCCCCCACTGCCCCACGGCATGCCTTCAGCCTCTGGCCCTGCCTGGGCAGCAGGCAGTAGCCACCACACAGAGCCAGGAGCTGAGCGAGCGCCTTCACCCCCAGCAAAGCTGCAGGTCCTGGTGCTGCTTTGTAGCTTGTTTGTGTCTGGGTGGGGATCCCCGCGGGGCTGGGCTGCTAGGGTGGCACACCCTGAGTGACTCGGCCGTGTCCAAGCTGCCCTCCTTGCTGCAGGCAGGACGGGCCAGAGCACAGCCAGCATCTTCTCCTGCTCCTCACACCCTTCTGAATCTCCTGCCAGGAGAGCCGCGGGGCAGGGTGCTGGCGTCTGGGTGCAGCAGCATCCCCCCTGAGCCCTGGCTGCACGCTGATGCTATCTCTCCTGTGGCCAAGCCCCTGCCTGTAGCACCTTGCCCCAACCCCACGGGTGGCTGGGGGGCTTGCACCGGTCCCCACTGTGGGGGAATTATAGGGGTGAGACGATGGATGTGAAGTGTCTGCCAGGGGCTGGGAGAAGCTCCTGTGCTTGTGCCCCAGGGCTGCTCCTGCTGCACCCCATCCCTGGTCCTCACTGCCTCAATACCCTCATGCATCCTCCAGCAGCTAATGAGCAACCCCGCCCTGCTCTGCCTGCCAAAGCTCTTCCTCTTCCTCGCTCAAGTGTCCTCCTGTATGTGCCCAGTCCTGCTGTCTGCTCGCTGCCCTCAGGCAGTGGGGACACTGTCAGCCCACAGTGGGGTGGGTCAGCAAGCGCTGGCTGCTCTGCCATTCGCACATGGGTGCTGTGCCACCACCGCCACCCCCCCTGTAGCACCTGCATCCAGCAGACACCCTGCCTCCCCCAGCTGTGGCACAGCCACGTAGGGGTCCAGCTCACCTCTGTGCGTGGTGCCAGGCTGCCTGGGGATCACTGCCATGGGACGAGGGTCAGCCCCAGGAGCCAGCACTGGCACAAGCAGCCCCATGATCGTGCACATGATGGGCTGCTTCTCTGGGCTGGGACCTGCACGGTGGCAGGAGATACGGGACTGTGCCGTGGGGCCATTGGGTGCTGCTCTGTGACCTCTCCATTAAAGTGCAGTTGTCCACCCCCAGTGCCAAAAGCTGTTTATTTGCTCCTCCGTGGTGCTCAGCCAGGGGATGACCCAGCAGGGACAGGAGCTGTGATTGATTTCCACTCCTAAGAGATTTCTATTCGTGTTGAGAAAGATCCCATGCAGGCTGGTGGGGCTGGGAGAGGGGTAGTGGGCTGCACTCACAGAGCCCGTGCTGGTCCCTGGGCTCCAACCTGGGGTGAGGGAGCCAGGAGGGCTCAGCCATCCAACAGCAGCAGGATGGCTTTTGGAGAGTGAGCTGGGACCTCAGCAAGCTCCTCAATGGACACACTGACTGCCTCCTGCGCAGCCTGCTCCCCGGGGCAGGGCCCCAGGGGTTGACCCAGTGGTGGGGACCTCGCTTGGCTCCCGTCAGAGCTGGCTGCCGCTGCCTTGTGTCAGCAGAGTTTCTCTGTGCGTCACTGTCTGCTCCATCAGCCTGGCTGAATGCACATAAGTGTCCCTCCTCCTGCCCCTGGGGGTGCCTCTGTGGCCACCCCAGCCCATTCCAACACAGGTCCTTGCAGGGCAGCCCTTAAGGTGGTGTACATGGCTTCCCCAAGCAGGTTGCAAGCTCCCAGGGAGTTCAGCTGGTCCGTGGGTCCCTCTGGCCATCCCACTGCTGGCCGGGTGCACGTCACGGCCTGCAAAACACCTGGTGCATCTCAACAGGATGGTCCCAGGGTGGTCCCTTCTTCACGGCATTGCTTTGCCTGGCTAAGCCGTGCCTGGTCCCCTCTCACATGCGAGAGATGTTTGCTAGCACCATTTCCCAGTAAGATTTAATTAAGTCCTAGGGGTCTCTTGCGGGACGGCTGGAAGCAAGTGTGGTGAGCTTGGTGTGGGATTGGTGCCACCCATGACAGCAGCACCCTGCCACCATCCCCAAGCCAGTGGACGTCCGGGGCCAGGACCCTGCTTCCCTGCCAGGATGCTCACTGGCGGCTGCCTCTGGCCTCACCTCCAGTCCCTCTGGGGCTGGGTTATTTTTCAAAGCACTCCAAGGACACCGGTTGTTGTTGCCGATAAGCAGCAAGGGGCAGCTCCGCCCTAGCAGGAACAGCTCGTCAGCCAGCTTCCCATCCGCCCCAGAAAACATTGTCCCATCTTGGCGAGCAGTGTCCCTGCAAACCTGCCGCAGGCTCGGCGGCAGTCTCCACGATGCCATACTCGGTAAGTGGTGGCCGTGCTGCTCGAGTAGTTTGGGGGGTCTGGGATGGGTGGGAGCTGCTGGTGGCTCTGGAGAAAAGAAGTGAGATGATGGAAAGGAAAAGCCAAGCTGACGCTGCTCTGGAGTGCTGGTGTAAGTCCAGGATAGCCCCATTCGTGTGGGGTGTCTGCAGGTGGGCATTGCTGTGGGGTGGGCAGCATCCCGCATCATACGGCAGCACGGGTGTGTACCCCAAGTAGGGAGTGACTGGCAGAGGTCTGGAGGGCACTGCCTCAAAAAGTGCCTCTGGTGGGCTGGGAACAGGCATTTGGCCTAGCAGAATACCCCTCAGGCAGGTCTGTTGTTGCTCTGGTTGCTTGAAGAGAAAAAAGTACTTGATGGGCAGTTAGAAATACAACTGTTGGAGCCTGTTCCTTTTGACATGGAGCAGCAGCATATCCCTGTGCTTCACATGCTTCCCCACCCCAGAGCCCGGCTTCATGCCCATGGAGATATCGTGTGAGGCCACAGGTTCCCCCAGGATCTCTGTGGGACCACACGGGTCCTACCTCAGCCACTGCTCTGCAGGACGTGGGGACCTTTGGTGAGGGTGGCACCACCCTGGTTGTCGCAGGGTGAGCTGGAGTGGGGCTGGGGTGCAGGGGAAGAGCCCCGACCCACTGCACAGGGCAGGCAAGGAGAGATTTGGGCTTCCCACAAGGGGAACGCTGGGGCGGTGCGAGCAGACCGGGGCAGTGCCCCAGAGGTTGCTCCCGCTGCACTTCTGGCTGCAGGAGCTGCTTCCCCAGCAGCACCCACCTGTGGGTGCAGATTTCTGCCTCGCCGAGGCAGAGGATGAGGCTCGGCTCCTTCTCCAGTGCAGGCTGGTGGTCTATGCACTGCTGGGGCTGGGGTCCCTGCTGGTGGGGGGTATGCCCCTGCTCTGCCCCCCCACCTGCCAGTGCTATGACACCTCCAAAGTCTTCTGCTCGGAGGAGAGGATGCAGGAGATCCCAGAGGGCCTGCCAGGGAATGCTACTCAGCTCTTCTTCGTGGAGACGGCCCTGAGCAGCGTCCGCAGCGGAGCCCTGGGCTCCAGCACCACCCTCACCAAGCTGGTCTTCCTCAACAACAACATCCAGGAGCTGGAGGCTGGCGCCTTTCAGGAGCTGCCCAGCCTCACCGAGCTGGAGGTGTCGGGCAACCCCTTGGCAGCAGTCAGCCCGGGGGTGCTGATGGGGCTGCCCAGCCTCAGCAAGCTCTCCCTGGGTGCCAACGCCATCCGCTCCCTGCAGCCGGGGCTCTTCGCCAGTACCTGCCGTCTGCAGGACCTGCGCTTGCCAGGGAACAAGATCGAGGCACTGCCCCCCGGCATCTTCCGCTCGCTCCGGCACCTCCAGACCCTGGACCTCTCACAGAACCTCCTGACCAAGCTGCCAGCCGGGCTGCTGGCTCCCCTTGCTGCCCTCCGCCTCCTCAAGCTCAGTGACAACCTGCTGGCACAGGTGTCCCCCGGCGCTTTCGGGGCACTGGGCTGGCTGGCTGAGCTCCACCTGGATGGCAACCGGCTGGAGGAGCTGCCGGCCGGTGCCTTCGCCAGGCTGGGGGGGCTGCGGCGGCTGCAGCTGCAGCACAACGCCCTGGGCAGCCTGGCCCCCGACATCTTCACCAGTCTCCCCAACCTCACTGTCCTCAGCCTGGAGGGTAACCGCCTGGCCACCCTGCCCGCCGCCCTCTTCACCGGCACCCCTCGTCTCCTCCACCTCTCACTGGCTCACAACCAGCTGGAGACGCTGCCCCAGGGCCTCTTCTCCAACCTGTCAGCGCTGCAGACCCTGGTGCTCTCGCACAATGCCATGGCCCACCTCCCCGCTGGGATTTTCCAGGGGCTGGCGGGGCTGGCGGCGCTGCAGCTGAGCCACAACAACCTCTCCAGCCTGCCGGCTGGGCTGCTGGCCGGGCTGCCCCTCCTCACCGCCCTGGTGCTGGACCACAACCGCCTGGCCCGCCTGCCCCCGGGGCTCTTCGATGCCAACGAGGAGCTGGCGCGCGTGGGGCTGGCCAACAACCCCTGGGCCTGTGACTGCCGCCTCGCCTATCTCCTGGGCTGGCTCCAGAGCTTTGCTGAGCCCCTCATCCATGCTCAAGCCTCCTGTGCCAGCCCGGCTGCTCTCCAGGGACGGTCCCTGCTAGAGGTCCCCCAGGAGCAGCTGGAGTGCCCGGGAGCACCTGGCATCCCCCCAGAGGAGGGCTGGGATGGGGAGCTGGGGAAGGATGCTCCAGGGCTGTGCACCTACAGCAACCCCGAGGGCACTGTAAGCATGGCCTGCGATGCCACCAGCTGCCAGCAGCTCAGTCTTCGCCTCCCTCCTCCTCCTCCTCCTCCCAGGCAGGCGTGGGGCCCGGGGCAGGTGTACCAGGGTGCCTGGGTGCTGCGCTCCCGCTGTGGCACGCTGCAGGTCAGCGTCCTTGTCACGGCGCAGAGCGGGGATGAAGCCACCTCTCCAGGTCTCCCCGCTGCGCCCTAGAGCTTGGGCAGGCTCATGCTCTGCTCTCGCGTTGGCAGCGTCTGAACCAGCCTGGGAACCAGCACCCTGTCTCACTTCACTACCCGGGCCGCAGTCGCCAGCTGTCACCGAGCTCTCTGCAAGAGCTGGCCTGGTGGTATTTATTCTCCCAGCTATGCGTTTCCTGTGTATTTCAAATATAATTAAAATGTATATATTATTTCTGTGCAACCAGTTCCCATGGTGGAGAGAGGAAACACTGTTCCACCGCCTCTGCCCATGTGTCTGGGGGAAGCAGTGAAGGTCGCTGGGGTCTGATGGGGACTTGGCTGGGGCTGTGCGTGGTGTGGCACGGGTGCAGGTGCCTGAGGTGAGGAGGTGCCGCTCTCTGGTGTGCTCAGCTCTGCCTGCTGCACCTCTGCAGCCCCACCTCCTGCCCCGCTTCCCTCGGCAGTGCTGAGACCCACCTGCAGCCTGGCACTAACCCCAGGGCATGGGTTTGGTTTGGGGTGTCCGAGGGTGGGCGAGCGCTGCCAACTGCCCGTCAAGAGGCACGGGCTGTGGGGCTGAAGGGTGGGCACCGGCCCAGGGCTGTGCACCGGCAGGTCCCCACCCGCCCTGGCAGGGCTTGGCCTGCAGCCCCACAGTCTGCCCCAGAGAGGCTCGGGGGCCCGCGGAGACGGAGCGCAAAGGCCCAGCAGCGCTGCCCACCCAGGGGATGGCAGGTAAGGTGGGTTCTTCCTTGAGAGAGCAAGTGTGTGTGCATGCACGTGTGTGTGAGGGCATACGTGTGTGTGCATGTTCGTGGATGCACGTACGTGTGCAAGGTGCATGCCCGGCAGGCTGCAGCAAGCTGCCTGCTAGCAGAGCCCTTCTCCCATCTGGAGTTGTGGTGCAGTGTTCCTGCACCACCTCCTGGCCGCTGGGACCCAGGCTCTCCTGGGCCAGGCTGCTGGGAGAGCCCTGCCTGCACCTGGCCAGCCTCCTCTGAGCCAGCCTTCCCGCAGCGACAGGGGAGCTGGGGTCCTCTCTTGGGGCTGTGCTGGTTTTCCTGCTGGGCTGTGCGTCTCTGCCAGCCCCTTCCTTCCCTGCTGCTGCCCAGCCAGAGGGCCGGGAGCAGAGAGGAGTCTCCATGTCATGTTAGCCTGACGTGCCCTGGCTGGGCTCTGGGCTGCTGGCCCCATGCTCCCAGGAGGTGGGTGGGCAATGCTGCACCCCCCAGACACAGTCCTGCACAGCCACCCTGCCACCTCTCCCACACAGGGCACTGCCACTGTGCTGCAGTCATCTCCCAGGTGATGCTGGTATGGCCACCTCCAAGCTTATCTCAGGGATGCTGTGGCTGGCTGCAGCTCCCCAAACCCTGGCACAGCTGCCACACCGTGGCCTGGGGAGGCTGGTGTCACTCCCACCGTGAGCTCTGTCCCCTTGCACCCTGGCTCCTGCCACCCTGCAGCCTCTGGAGCAGCCTGGCACCGAAAGGGGACATGGACACATCTGGCATTGCCGTTGGAAAGTGGTAAGGCTGTTGAAAATGTGCTGTAGTTTGAGTGGTTTTAAATTTACTGGGAAATGTATAATGAAGCCCAGCAAGCTTAAACTGAGCCTTAATAGGAGCAGGTGGAAACTGAAGAAAAAATATTTGAATGCAATTAGTGTGATTATCTGTTGGGGAGCAATGGATGCCTTGTCATTTTAAGTCTTTGCATCAAAGAGTGTATTTCTTCTCACAAGACGCCCTGTACTGGCCAGGAGCTCTGGGAGGGTCTTTGGCTGGTGCTAGGGCGCAGGGGTGCACACCACTCAGTCCCAGCCCTACGGCCCACGAGGTGTGTGTGGGGCTGTGGGGCTGAACTCAAAGCCCAGGTGTCAGTGTAGCTTTCTGGCCACAGACGTTATCCCCCTTATAAGCTTAAACAAATGGCTTCAGAGCAGCACCTTTAGCTACATAAGCCAATTCCTGAGGAAGGAAACAGCTGGATATTTTTAATAGGAAAAGCTTTAAATAGGAAAATTCCTTTCTGTTGTGTCGGTGGGGGTGGTGCCTTTGAAGCTGGTGGGTTACGCTGGTGGAGATATGGGCCTGCAGGGACCATCAGCTACAGAACAGGCTGGCCTGGAGATCTTCAAGTTTCCCTGGATGTGACTAGTCAAGTGGTGCCAGCAGATAACGCCTGGGAGTACGTGCCTGCATCCTCCCCGAGAAGTTTCTGCAATGGCCTCCCACACGGGGGGCACTGCTCTGCTGCCTGCTCACCGGCTGTCCCTTATCTCCGCACGCAGACCCATGCCCTGACCCCACGCAAAACCAAGCCCTGCGCCGGGGCCGTGGATAAAGGGCTGGCCAGGTGATGGGACCCCCTTGTCTGCTGGCCTTGCTCCTTGCACAGCACGTCTCGCTCCGGCGGCTGGACTTGCTCACAAGCGCTCAGATGGGTAAGTGATAGAAAATGATTTTTTTTTGCTATTTAAAATGTGCTGGGAGGGGCGGCTCTGGGGCGTCTGTCGATCTTTTCCTTGCAGCAGGGAGCCAGGAGATGCTGCAGCTCTGTGAGCTGGGGCCATTCCACCATGTCCCTGAGCTGCTGGAGGGTGGGACAAGCAAGGGCCCACACTGAGGTCCACCGCAGCCAGATGGAGTGAGGGACGGTTTTAAAAGAGCTTTGCAGTTCAGAGCTGTTTATTTTCAGCCCCATGCACTCAGTCCAGCCATTCCCAGCTGTGCCTTTAACCCATTGCACTGCCCCTGCAGCTGAAGTGAAGCAGGCACTTCTGCAGGCTCACCCCCCCGCTCCTGCACCCGAGTCTCCCCGGGAGAGGATGGGCAGGGATCAGCAGCAGCTTCTGCCCCGGGACGCCCCGTGGGGCAGCTGGCACGTACCTCACCTCCTATCAGTTTCTCTTCAAACCTAGTGGCTTATAACCTTCAGTATTTGCTGACCTCTCAACATTTTTCAAAAAATTAACTTTTCTTAGCAAATTTACCCTCCCAGCAGAAGTTTTTTTTTGCATGATCCGCTTTGATGGACACCCAAGAAGCAACCCACAACCCTTTCCCTTGCTTCCACCCAGGGGTGTGATCACAAGCTGGAAACTACGGTCCCAGTATGATGTTCATGGCCATTAAACACCAGCTAATGTTTTAGTTGAATGTTTCCAAATGACTCGATGGAAGTGGTGGGCTTTATGTGGCTACTGGTGGGTGTGTGTCAGTGACTTCACTTCCTAACTGCAGGTCAGAGCCCTAAATATTAGGTGTTAAAGAGTTCATCTGTGGGCATTTCACAGTGTTTAATGAACCTTTCTCTAAAGCTTGGTTGTTGCTCACAGATTAACCATTTCTATCTGATAGAGCTGCATAACCAAGGCCAAACTATGATGCAATTAGCAAGAATCCTGAAAAGGAGATGCTTAGAAGCCATGTTTTGAATGACTCTCCTGAACTGAGAGAAGCACCAATGAAATAGCAAGTCCACCCAGCACAGTGTGGGAATTCTGAGTAAACAAGGTCATCTGGTCTTGGCTGGCTCCTGGGACCCTTGCTGATGCCTCATTAGCAAGCACAGGGCTGACGGCTTCCGTTCTTGCATGAATGAGCTGTTGCCCTGCTGAGTAACTGGACCCACTGGGGCAGTACTAATAGGCAGCAGTGCTTTGCCTTCTTCACCCAAACAGTTGCTGAGCCTACAGCCCAAATGTGGGAGAAGGAGGGCCAGAGGGCAGACCATCCAGCCCTTGTCTCTCCTGGAGCATCTCCCAATGCCAAACCATGAGCTGGCTCACTCTCCCTTCCTCTCCATCCCTCGGTACCAATGGCAGTGAACTTTTGTAAATGCAGCGTATGTTGGCTTGTATGGGCTCTCTCTCACAAAATGTGTCATGGTATGCAAATAGAAGAGTCCCAAGAGCTGAACGACAGCATGGTACCACAGTTCATGAGCTGTGGACAGAGATTTTTTTTGTTCTTCGTAACTGAAATTTTAAACCTTTCTTTCAGGACAATGTACCAGCATTTCCTTTTCCTTTTCTTCCTCTCCTTCCATCCCCATAAATGCCAAGATCAAATCCTGGGGGAAGATCCGTATGAAATGCCTGAAGACTACCAGGAGGTCTACAGAGGGACAAAAAATGATGTCAAAGAGATTCCAAAGATTGCAAAGCCCTTCATTTCTGAGATGATCTTTGTGCAAACCAGCATCACTGCTATAAGGAAAGGTGCCTTCAGGTACATGCCCAACCTGATCAAGATTTTGTTTATTGGCAACAAGATCAAGACAGTTGAACCCGGAGCCTTTGATAATTTGGACAAGCTGAGGGACTTGGACATCTCTGGTGCCTCTTTAGAAGAACTACCTGTGGGCACTTTCCAAAACCTCCCAAGCTTGCAAAGGCTGGAGCTGAGAGATAACCACCTCAGGTACATCCCCAAAGGCCTGTTTGATGGGCTGGAAAATCTGGGAGAGCTCTCTCTGCACATCAATGCAATCCCTTCTCTTCCAGAAGGCATTTTTGATTCTCTTGTCAATCTAACATTTTTGGACCTGGCTAGAAACAGGATCACGACTCTTTCTGGGGATGCCTTTAGCAAACTCCGCCAGCTGCAAGTCCTCCGGCTGTATGAGAATGAGTTGCAGGACCTCCCGGAGGGGTTACTAGACAGTCAGCTGGGGCTGCTGGAGCTCAGCCTCCAGAGGAACAGGCTCAGGGCACTGCCACCCATGCTCCTGAGGAGCCTGCCTCACCTGGAGAAACTCCTCTTGGATAACAACCGCATCAGGGTTCTCCCACCTCAGGCCTTTTTTGGTTTAAACAAATTGAAACTGCTGACTCTGGGTTCAAACCACATTACGGAGCTCCCCTGCTGCCTTTTTGACACCATGCCACATCTGTGGGAGCTGGACCTGGGCAGGAACAGTTTGGCCACACTTCCAGACAACATCTTCGTCAACCTCACATCTCTTGGCAAGCTCATCTTGTCCCACAATCAGCTAGCAGCCCTGCCAAGAGGAGCCTTCACTGGGCTTAGCAAGCTCTCGGACCTCCAGCTGGACACAAATCAGCTGTCTGCTCTGGATGATGAGATCTTTGCTTCTCTCTCAAATCTGAAAACACTCAACCTTCGGAAGAACCAGCTGGAGAGTATCCCACGAGGGCTCTTAGACCCCCTAAAGAAGCTCAGCTCAGTGTTTCTGAGTGGGAACCCGTGGAGATGTGACTGCAACCTCTGCTACCTGCACAGCTGGGTCCTGGGCAACAGTGAGAAGGTAAAATTGTCCACCCAAGTGTCGTGCAAGAGTCCATCCCACCTGGCAGGGCAAGCAGTGACATCGATGAGGGATGTCCACTTGATTTGCCCAGCTACTCTGCCCCTTTCAGCTTATTTTACCCCTTCTCTGCCATTCATGTCCACATCATCACAAGGGATGTCAACTTTGCTGTCACCTGAAGACTTTCCCACTTCAGCACCAAACACACTGTCATTGGCAGCCTTTCCCATCACAGCTCTGCCAACCATGCTGTCACCTGTGGCCACTTCTGCCATGTTGCCAACCATGCCAACAAAGGTCTTCTTCACCACTCCATCACCAGCCAAGCCATCTAAGGTCTTTGTCACCACCCCATCATCAGCTATGCTACCCAAGGCCTCCATCACCACCCCATCATCAACCGATGTGCCCAAGGCCTCCACCATCACCCCATCATCAACCAATGTGCCCAAGATCTCCATCACCACCCTGTCATCAACCGTGATGCCAAAGGCTTCCATTGCCACCCCATCACCAGCTGTGCTGCTTAAGGCCTCCTTCACCACCCTATCACCAACTGAGCTGCCCAAGGCCTCCATCACCACCCCATCACCAGTTGTGCCACCTGAGGCTTCCATCAACACATCATCACCGACCGTGCTGCCAAAGGCCTCCACTGTCACCCCATCATCAACCATGTTGCCCAAGGCTTCTATCACCACCCCATCACCAGCTATGCCACAGGAGGCCTCCAGCCTGTATCCAACTCCAGCCTTCATAAGCCTACAGCCTCCTGGGACCACCAGCCCAGAGCCTGCACTGTCCACTCTAGCTTCTGCCACCACACTGGTGCCAACCAGCCCACTGGCAGCCACCACTAGAGAAATGACTCCCTCTCTTCTGGTGCCCACAGAGGAGCCAACCACCATCCCATGGGGGACACCCAGCATCTCCCTTGTCTCAGACCACCCCACAGCACTCTGGCCACCCTCCAGGGCTGCTGTGCCGGGCATGGTCCCGCTGGACTCACACTCTGCATCCCACCACGCTCCTGTGCCAGGCAGGGAACAGGACCATGCCACAACGTGGGGCTTGTCCACAGTTGGCACCCAACCCACTCAGCACACTCCCACCCCTTCAGGCGCCATCCTGCTCCCGATACCTCCTGTCACCCCACAGCCAGACCATAGAAGCCCGTGGCCAGTTCCCTCACCCCTGGCGCCCCGTGGCCACACCTGGGGCTTCTCCCTGCGGTCCAGCCCGCGGCGCTGCCGGGTGGCCCTGGCCCTGGGCCTGGCCGCGCTGGCACTGCAGGCAGGCTGCGTGCTGCTATGGGGGAGGCTCGCCCTCCTCCTCCGCCAAGCCACCCGACACCGGGGCCACCCCGTGCCACCGGTGAGACTGCTGAGTCTCCAAGCCCTGGCCACCCCACAGCCCCCCGAGCAAGCCCGGGCACTGCTGTGAGCTTTGCTGTGTGACCTGAGCACTGCCCGTTGTCCTCCTCTGGGGTCTGCTGGAGCCGTGCTGGCCGTGGGGTGCGTATGTCACAGGGTGGGTGTCCCAGCCCCCAGGTTATTTTGGGGTGCCTCCCAGCTGGCCCCTGGAGATGCTGTGAGCCTGGGGAGGTTATGCGCCGTGTCAGTGTCTGAGGGGCCCTTCTGCCAAGAGACACTAGATGGCATCCCGACACAGGCAGTGGCTGCCACCGGGAGCAGAGAGGGCGACCAGTGGCCCTGGAGGCATCGCACCGAAATGCCCGAGACCCCGCACCCCGCAAGCTGGGGACCTCGCTGGACCTCGGGCACCGCCCGCTCTCGCTTTCAGGGCCTGGCTGGGGCTCCTGCCTGCATCTCTTCCCCATCCCTGGCAGGTTGCTACCTTCAGGGCGCAAGCAGTCCTTGGGGAAGGACATCCCAAGGCTTCCTGCCCCTCATCCCAGCTTCTTCCCTGTGTCGTGTTACAGGATGTGTCAGTGCCCATATGTCCATCGTAATGCTCTGACCTCTTCCCCTCTCACTGATCCTTTCCTCCTCATTGATATTAAAGCCTCCCCTGCATCTCTGCCATGCACTGAAGGGCTGGCTAGAGGAGTATTTTCATCTCAGGGCCCTTCTCGCCGTGACCTGCTGTGGGGGATTCCTCTTGCTTGCTGGAACGTGGGGTCCCCAGCCAGCACCGGCCTTCAGGGACCCGTGTGGGATCAAGCCTGTGTGCCCTCCTGCAGGCAGCAACATAGTGAGACAATAGTTATGCTTTTCTTTCCCCTCTTAAGCCTTACACCCCCAGAACCTCTTTGCAATGCTCTGCTTGCCCCGGCCTCTCTGGAAGAGCAATGTCTGAGCATGGCTGGACGTGCGGTTCTCATACCGTAACTTCACCTGATGCTGAGCCTGAGGGCAGCTGGGCACTGGCTCTTCAGAAGCTCGGGAGAAAGGGGCTAATTCTCCTCGTAACTGAAGGGTTGATGTGTGCCTTCACCTTTGCAGTTCCTGCCAGGGCCAGGAAAGTGCCACACTTAAACAAAAGTAGCTGTTTCTGTGGGGTTTCTGCCATCGCAGAAAACGCTGAAACTTCCACAGGAAGGCTTTAGCCCAGGTGATTTTTGAGCGGATGAACACAGGAGTTGTTCCTTGGTTTGGGTCTCTGGGTACCTTATTTTGCTCTAGGTAGGCTCAGTGTTGACTTTGCCCTGTGCCAGGCAAGCTGCTTCCAGATTTAATCACCCTGGTCACTACAGGGTTGCAGGTGTCTTTCTTCAACTCCTCACCTTTGCTGCCAGCGCCTGCTCCATCCTGTCCTGCCTTTGGGTGCACTTCCCCAGGCATTGGGCATAGGGGCTGCCTGGCTTTGGGGGACCTCAGGGTGGAGAACCCTTGAAAATCAGTAGCCTGGACATGTGCTGGGCAAAGAGCTGTGGGGAAGTGGCTCAGTAACCTCCTGTCTGAGGAGTCCCAAGCGCCCCAGCTTCCCTGCCTGGTGCAAGACCAAGGGAGGGGGAAAGGGGCTTTGCATTAGGGTATGTGCCTGTGGCTATGCATTAGGGACCTGGATATATGTCTTTGCTAAGAGCCTGTGCAGTGTTACAGGCCCTTCAGCTGCTCCTTGAAGTCCTGCTGACGGCTGTGAAATACGGGAGGCGAGTGTGGGGCAGCACATCTGGGCGGGATGGAGCGAGCAGCTCCGGGGCCGGGGCTGGCACGGCAGGTAATGAGACACAGATGAGGAGGTGGGAGTGTTTTTCCTGGCAGTCCAGATGGGCTCGACTTAATACTTGATTTAGAGGGTTTGAAAGCAGGGTCTGGCTGCTGGGGAACAGACCCCGAGCACTTCCCGGGGCGGCGAGGGGGGGTCTCCGCTGGCTTTTCAGGTATTTAATGGCCCAGCACAGTCTAAACAGGGAAGTACTTCGGGGTGAGATTAACACAACATAATCACATCTTAAAAGGTCTTCAGAGACACAAGGCACGTCCGCTCTCATATTAATTACTTGTTATTAATAAATCTGGGGTCAGGGTAGAAGTGTTCGCTCCGGAGCATGCCGATTCCCTCTTTGCAGAGCGGTGGTGTATCTGAAAGCAGCACAAAGCCCTGCAGCCTCCACCTGTGCCCACCCCGCTCCGGAAACCAAATGGCCGACATTCCTACACCCGCCTTTAAAACTAATTTGCCCCATAACACCCTGAAAGGGCCACGTCTTTCTAAGTGCCCAGAAAACCTCTGAGTGCTGTAAAATAATAATAGCTAGGGTGTTCTCAGCACGGGAATTTCCTGCTATGATTGATTTCTAATTTGCAATGAAAATACAGCCGCCCATGTTCCTGGGGCCAGGCTGGTGCAGCTGGCTCGCAGGCAGGAGCCAGCTCCCTCCATCACCGTGGGGCCAATCCCTGGAGGGCTGTGGCTGAGCTGGGCTGGAGAGGAATTAGCAGCTATTCCTGTTTGCCCCTGCTCACTCTGGTGTCCCCCAGGAGGTAAGGAGCTGAGAGGCAGGAGGGATGCAGGGTGTCTTGGGGGTGATGTGCCTGGGCAGCCAGGGACAGGGAACACACTTGGGTCTCCCGATGGCTGAGCAAAATCAGCCAGAGAGCGTGTGGGGATGAGGTAGAGCATGGGGGATCTGCACTGGGGAGACCAGTGTACAGATTTGCTGCTTCGGAGCTGCACCTTGCTGCGATGCCAAGGAGAGGCCTTCCTCCCAGCAGGGAGGTACGTGGCCAGGGCAGGTGCCCAGGGAGTGCACAGCTCCCAGCACACCCTCCCCACTCTGCTGTGGGCAGCCCTTTGCAGGACAGCCATTGTACTGAGTAGCTCTTGATTTATTTTATTTGAATTTCTCTGGTTTCTCTGAACTCACGTAAGATTTTAGCATCTGCAGCACCCTGTGGCAAGGAGTGCCCAGGATTGACCACGCACCGAATGAGGCAGCACCCTGCTTTGCTCTGCCCCTGCTCGCTGCTCCTTGCATGGCATACCCCTGATTCTTGCATTGGAAAAATAAAAGGTGAGCATCCCTGTGTGGCAGCTCCAGGCTGCTTATGACACTGTAAATCTCTTCCCAGTTGCTGTGACTGCCTGAGGTCCTTGTAGTTAGCCTCAGATTACAACCAGTTGGAAGCAGAGATGGGATGCCATGCATGCATGTCTTTGGGGGGCTCTCCAGCACGATCTGGGAGTCCCACAGCCACTGCTGCCTCTCTTCCTGCCCTGTGCAGATGAGACGTGGTTCCCACAGCCCTGTCACTGGTGCTGCAGTACCGACCCGTAACCCCTCTGCCCGTCAGCCCTGCTGGGAGCCCCCTGTGCTGTGGGTGCAGTGGCCTGTCCCCTCCACCTGCCTCCGGTCCCCTTCCTGCCCCCGGGGCGCCCCGTGGGCAGGAAGAGGGCTCACGAGTGACAGCCCTTTCTTGTGGCTGGTGGGAAGAGGGGCACCGAACACCTGCACGGGGGGGATTTGCACAATAACACAGGCGGGGAGCAAACCTGGGCCTCTGGTGGGCCAGTCCCACTGCTGGCTTGCTGCTGGGAACCTGCCCCAGCCCGCAGCCGTGCTGCTGTGGCTTCCTCCCCGGGCGCCCACCTCGTGCGCTGGCCCCAAACGTGTGCCGTAGCTGTGCCCGGAGCGGCATCTTGTCGGCTGCTGGTGTGGTCTGAACCCCCCCACATCTCTCGTGACCACCTGCCCTGGTGGGGTGAGGGGGTGGGGGCTGGCTGCTGCATGTGCAGGTAGGGTGAGAAGGGGCTGGTTTGGCACCAGGTCCCGCAGCAGCAGGGAGGTGCTGGCAGTGCTGCCTGGAGATGTGGGAAAGGTGACATGGGACCTGCAGGGTGAAGACCCCAGCGGAGGCAGCTCCCTGGCAGAGGCATCTGCAGCTGCTGGGATGAGCCTAAAGACCAGCCGGGCGGGTGTGTGCAGCACCCATCCATCCCCTACTGTGCTCAGCAGAGAAGACCGTGGGCTGGCAGTCATTGCTCTGTGTTGCTGCTGTGCCCCCTCAATGCTGGTGACGGTTTTGAACAGCAGCACTGCTCCTCCATGTATCCTCTGGGTAGTCCATCTCTCCCTCCCCATCCTTCACCTGAAGCACCCCTCCCCACTTCCATTCACAGCACTCATCCAGCCACTTCAGGCTGCTCCTTGCCAAGAACCCCTGTGAGTCGCACAGAACAGGACATTCATTTTTTCTGCTTTGGCCTTGGCATCTCCCAACCCTCCTGCAAAAGGGCTGCAGCCACATCCCTCCGGGGTTGGGGCCAGACCTCCCCCAGGGCAGCAAGAGAACAGCCAGGCATGGGGGACAGGGCCCAGGGGGGTGCAGGGCTGGCACCCCCCGCGCCCCCATCCTTGGGACTCCTGCTTTGCATCTTGTGCTGCTCATGCTTTTATTCAGGATTTGGGCAGGCACGAGAACAAGGGCAAGGAAAACCTGTGGGCACATCCTCTCTTGGGCAGTGAGAGAGCCGAGAGGGGAGGAAGTCGCCTGTTTGTTTAAGGTGCAAACAAGTGCTGTTAATCTGCTGACTGTTTGTATTTCTTTAGAGCCCCCGAGCGTGGGGGGAGCGGAGATGGGGTCTCCCCTTTGTGCAGGGGCAAGGTCAGGCTATTGGAAGTGGAGGTGAGAAAACACAGAGGGGCAGCTGGAACCTGCTTTGGGAGGGAAAGATTTTTTTCGGCTATTTATGATAATTAGTGGGAAATGTTCCTCAAGCGTTTCAGATGATTCTGTAATGAAGTTGGGCCGAATGTTCCCGCTTTGTTCCCCTGGAACCATTAAAAATCCCCCTTCTTTGGCTGCCTTAATGCAATGCTGAAAAGGCACAATGGCATAAAAGTGGCTCTGGGCAGGGCGGCACGCCTCCTGCCCCGCCAGCTAGAGCCCTTCAGAGCCCAGATTTTCTGTATTATAAACCTCATCTCCCACAATGTTCGTGTGAAGGCTGCTGCGGATCCCGCACCCAGGCTCCTTCACATCCCCGATGCCAGTCGGTGCCAGCCGGCCAGCGCCAGCAAGCTTATGGCACGCTCAGGGGGGAACAACGGCTGACTCAAACACACTGGAGTGAGAAAGGGTGGGCACAGTGAGGGATGCCATCACTCTGCTGTCTCAGGAAAGCTGCTTTCATCAGGAAATCTGCTGGGGTGAAATGCTGTGCTGGGAGGGGACCGATACCCGTGCAGGGGGAAATGGGGAGAGTCCAGCCCCGAGGAAAGTCCTTCTGACTCGGTGCTGTTCTGGGCCAGATCCTGCCCTCCCAGGAGGGCCAGGCAGTCGCCCAGGCACCAGCGCAGAGCAAGGCATGTGAAATCCATCCGTGACCCTCTGTGGATCACTAGCAGGCTGCAGGTGCTGGCTCATTTTCCTCTTGCTTTTAGCAGTGGAAGGTTTCTCTGGCGTAAGTGATGAAAAGAAAATCCACCTGCCTGATCTCATGCATCTATCAGCACTATTTCCCCAAGGGTGGTATGTAAAGCTAATGGGAGCGCTCCTGCTACAGCCGTGATAAAAAAAGGGAAAATGGCAGGAGCTTTTAGTGTCCCGCTGGGGGCTGGATGGGATGGTTTTCAGTGTCCCCATCAATATTCCCATCCAGATTCCAGCCGGTGTGCTCTGTGTCCCAGGCTGGAGCTGACATGCCCCACTAAGGCATTAAATCACCAGGCTGGGGAGGAGCGGTTAAGGGCTGGGAGCACAGCTCCCCGGGAGCTGCCCCATCTCTTCACCTCGCCTGTCCTGGCTGTAATCAAGCAATTGTCTCAGCCCCTTCGCTCCTTTCAACGGGGGGAACATTTGCAGACAAACTCCTGCCAGCGGGACGTTGGAGCTCTCCTGGGTGGTGGGATAAAGATACCTGTCACCTATGCACGCTCGTTCTGGGAGCATGGCTGGGGAGCCCCGTGGCTGCGGGGCTGGTGACTCCAGGCAGTGTGGGACAGGCCAGGAGGGCTCCCAGGAGGACCGGGAGGGCTTTCCTTGTCCCTGAGATACTGCATGGCCCACAGCAGCAGGGCGGCACAAGGAGCCCAGCTGTCAACAGGCTGGAGCCCTTACCTCCTGTTACAGCAGGTCCTCAAGCACCACTTGAATTATGATGCCTTTGCCAGTCCCCGTGTCTGTTTCAGAGAATTTTTTTGGGG